CACCCTGAGCTTCAGAGCTAACTTGACACTAACCTTTTCACTGTAGCCTATCTCCATCGTGTCAAGTAACCTCTGACGAAAATAGTTTGACCTATTTTATATAAGCCAATCGAATCCATGTTTCAAAATTTTTCACCAAAGTTTGGTGAAAACGCTGATTGGTTGATCGTCAATCGGCAATCCTCGGCTGATTCCGCAAGCTCCATACTAACAACATAGTTATTGTCGAGTGCGGAGACATCCGAGTAGTTCCGAGTGGTTCCGAGTGCATAACCGTACACAAAGAAAGCATGGAGTATATCGGAATTGAAACCAGAGCAGTATGATGCCCTGCATCATTATCTACTGAGGGATGATGTATTTTGCGTGCTGCCCACAGGTTATGGCAAGTCCCTGATATTCAGCCTTATCTTTGCTTGGTCTGGATTTGAACAAAGCGCGCTTTGGCTCGTTCGCGTTCATTGGCTAGATCGTTCAATGAGTCATTGAGTGCGGGCTTTAAATTTGATTGGCGGGCGGCGGGGGCACTCGAATCTGGTCAGAGGTTACTTGACACGATGGAGATAGGCTACAGTGAAAAGGTTAGTGTCAAGTTAGCTCTGAAGCTCAGGGTGTTGCAGGACCATATGGCCAGAATTATACAACTGACCGTTTTACCTCTTATTTTTAAGACCCGTCTAGAACCAGTTTCCTCGAGTCAAGGCACAACTGTGAATGCAACCATATTCAGCGCTTTTGCCGCCAAGGACAGCGACTCCTCCCGCCTGCATGTACAGCTGACACAAGATAAACAAGGTAAAACGCAGCGTGAAAATCTAAAAAAATATATAAATTTGACAAAGTAGTGCGTTGTATAGTAGTTTCTCCTAACCATCCTAGGATTAAATGAATAGACAATATATTATACGGTTTAACCAACATATTATAGATCTCAGTTCTATCTTAATGTTTCAGAAAACACTTGGGGCCCACTTGTTTGATACCAGTTTGCCAGTGTCCTCTGAAACCCGGAGTGACGTGTTTAAACTGTGGATATCCAGCAAACACAGAACGTTATCAGAACGTAATCATATCGCTAATATAACCATAAAACGTTGTGGTAACGTAGTGGCCACTTTATGAAACGTTCTGTGTTTGCTGGGACTTTATTAATAGGAAAACGTCTCTTTGAAAATTGATGTGAGTAACGTGCATTTACTTAGCTTCCGTATGATCATAATGTCGTATATTCCCCACAGACATGGCGGTGTATGTCCAGAGTGACCTCGTGTCCCCTACACTGCTCCAGACCGGAAGTGCCAGCTTCAACAACCTCGATCTGGAGTACAATGATACCACCAAGACGCTGCTGGCAAGCTTTGGATCGGGTAAGGCTGGATAGGGTTCAGTTAGAATTCAATTGGTACGCGAGCATATCTCATTTAAACATTGGTCAATTACCAAAATCAGCGATGAAACATTTTAGGCTTACATACTAATGCCTGTTAGCTTGAATAGATAGCTTTATTTGCGGTTATATAGAAAGTAAACTTTTGGAAATCACGCATCACTGTTAGTACATGGAATATTGTTGCTATTTGTTCATAAGGATTATTAGTAATTAAATAATGAGTCAAACAACTGATGAGAAAAGAAATCAATTTAAGGACAAACCTTTCTTTTCATAAGGCGTCACGGTCAATGTGACGAAAGGCGTAGGACTTCTCATGTTCGCTGTGGTCGTTCCCGATGAGTATCAGTCGAACACCACCGGTCTGATGGGCAACTACGATGGCAATGTCAGCAATGACCTGGAGGCTAGGAACGGGACCATCCTGGCCAGCAACGCCACCGAGAGTGACATCTACAATTATTTCGGGGAAACCTGTGAGTAAACATGAAACTTTGTTAGTTTAGGAAAATCGGGTAAAAAGTATTGAAAAAAAATTTTGCGTGGGCGTTTTAAAGTCGACTTTGATGTAAAACTACTTTTGTCATCACTAATTTTAACTCCCATTACTTACTAATAAACATATTGTCTGCAGCATCCCGTTACAATGAAAATGAAATGTTCTTTAACCCATCCCAAACATGTTCTTATTTCAACCACCATATGTCATTCTAGGGCGCATTTCCCAAGCAGAATCCATATTCTACTATGCGTCCGGATACTCCACGGTGAACTACACCGACACCAGCTTCGTCCCGACATATTCCGAGGACCTCCAGTCCATCTACGGGAACACAAAGTACCAAGCAGCGGTCAGCAAGTGTGGAAGCGACCTCCAGTGCCTCTATGACTTCCTGCTTACGGACAACGAAGCACTGGCCAACAGCACGAAAAGCTTTGACGAGACCAGTAAAGCGACAAGTGTAGAAGCAGGTAAAGATTTGTCGTCTGCCATTCTTGGTGCCATCTGACGATCGCGGTGGAAACTGTCATCAGGCATGAAATAGGATTTGATCTATAAAATCATTCGAACGGTTTTTCAAAGCGCTAATAACCAACCTTTGATTTAACATCCAACGCATCTTATTTTCGGTGCTGTAAAATGATACCACATCGCCTGTCCCCCTTCCTATACCCTTGCTGTGCCATCCATTCTTTTCACTTGTTGTGTGCAGGTGCATCTAAAACGGGCGAGTGTATACATCCTAAATTGTAACCTTGAACGTCCTTTATGGTAAAATACGCTGTCATTTCAGAAAACCGAAGCCCGAACATCACATCTGCCCCAGTCGGACCTATACAACTGACGGTCAACCAAGTAGGCTCGTATACTATAGAGTTTGTTGATCCAGACAGCGGCGACACTGTTACTCCAAGAATAGCGTACAGCATCAGCGATTCCAACATCACCACACTGTCAGCGACATCTGTCCAGGTGAACGTGAACCCTACCAGTACCAGTATTACACAGCCTGTAGGGTACGTGCTTAACATTAATTAGAAATATTATTTGACATCGTTTATTTTTCTAATTTTTCGGAAAGCGTACCTGTGTATAGATACATGGCTATTGGCGATGTTTAGGGGATTTGTATGGGATGTTGTTCGTTACTGGAAGTGGTCATATTGAATATACCGTGTAAATCTATAAACAGTGATATACATGTAGCCACTTGAGTTTAACCATCAGTATTAAGAATCATGCAGTGTTGAACAATAAAGGAACATTGGAAGTAAAGTTATATATGTTTATTTCCAGTCTGATACTGACCGATAACAAAGGCGGTTCTACCACGTGGACGGTGACAGCTGACCTTTGCTCTGGCTGCAGTAACAGAGGCAGCTGTCTGTTTAACCAGCTACGAGCAGGACAACTAGTGGACGCCAGTGTCCGGTTGGTGGAATGTGAATGTGACACGGGGTATACTGGTAGGTGGCAATGTGTGTCTGCTTGCGTGCCTGTAAAACTCATGATCAGTGGGTTTATTTTTCGATGGATTCTCTTGACATTTACCTTGTCAACTGCATCGTGCTAAGTCCACGAACAAGTTGCAAACTTTCTTTGAAGCTTGATATGTAACGCAGAGTGCAAAATCGATTTACACTTATTGTAATTTTGCTAAATCACCATTCGTCCACTCATTAAATGGATAACCACACTACTACATCTTTACATCGACATATTTATCACCTCCTTCCCTTCGCCCACTTTCATCAGGTAATGACTGCGAACAGGAGGTCGATGGATGCGCCAACAATCCATGCCCCGCAGTGGCCAACTGCACTGACTTGACGCCTGCGCAGGAAGTCGCCCAAAACAGGAGCTTCATTTGCACGTGCCCATCTGGCTATGAGACCCTTGGCTCGAAATGCAAAGGTAGAGCAAGATTCTCTTTAAAGTCGTGGCACATTTATCGTTCTTCAATAAGTTAATGAAAAGCAAGTAGACGTAAATGTTGCTTGAATGCAGGTGAGCAAATCACCAAATGAATAAAGGGATGAATAATAGCTGAATGTTTAACGTATCATATGATATCATATGGCGCATGCTTTTTACTTTTGTTTGGATAATAAATAAGGCCACCATACTGATCGATTAGAATGATCTATGAAATAGATAAACATATCTGAACATCGTCTTTTATTTTTAGACATTGACGAATGCCTAAGCGACAGCAGTAACACGTGCAACGCCTCCATCTCTACATGTGCCAACACGGACGGCTCGTTCTCTTGCACGTGTAACACCGGGTACAGGAACACCGACACGCAGACGTGTACTGGTAAGCACAGCATTTCCCATGTGCTTTTCAGCCATTATTATTATTATTATTATTATTATTATTATTATTATTATTATAGTTTAATCGAGTGTTATTACTCACCTATCTTAAACTTATTTCTTTTCATTTATTTATTAAGTTTGTTTCTGTTAGCCCTTTTTGTTCGTGTCTTTATAGGAAACAATTCAAACTATTAGGGCATTTATATAATTAAAAGTGTTGTAGTTGCTTGGTTTTCTTAACGTACGATTCATAGTAATATTTCTGATAACTAGCTAGGTTTTTATGCAAAATCATCAATTTCCACAGACATAAACGAGTGTACCGCCAGAACAGATGGCTGTCAGCAGATTTGTACCAATAGCATAGGCAGTTTCACCTGTTCCTGCCAAACTGGGTACAATCTGAACAGTGACGGCAAGACGTGCACGCTTACAGGTATGTCAATTGTGTGTGTAATTTTATGCATGTATACGTACTTTTTTTTACGTCTTTCGTCCTTGAGGTAGTAATAGCTAAATGAAATGAAATAAACAACACACGGCTTGGTAGGTTCCAGCACAGTTATTTTGGCGGTTTTCAATGTACCTTTTCATTATGTGGCCTTTGCATACCAATATGTAAAAGTAATTCTTATTAATAGATGCCGCGGTGTGTGCCAGCAGCTCTTGTGTGTCTCCAGCCTCTTGTTACAACAACAATGGCGCCGCAGCTTGCTTCTGTCCCCCTGGTTACATCCTTCTGAGTGATGGTGTCACATGTAATGGTAAGTGTCGGCATTTTGTAAGAAAATAAGTAGTGTTACACTGAATTTTACTCTGAGTATTGGGCATTGCCTTTTGAGTATTATTTGAATAATAAGATAAATTATACCTGGGCTCGTTTATTCCAGACATAGACGAGTGCAGCACGGACAACCAGTGCAGCCCGACATCTGCCTGTGAAAACACACAAGGCAGTTACACATGCGCGTGCGCAGTAGGTTTCCGGCTTGAGGCTGACATGAGGACGTGCACAGGTAAGTGGTAATGCGAAATGACTGCAGACTAACGTTTATTGTTTTTCTACTGCTATTGCCTTTGAAGAAGTACAAATAAGTAGTTATTTTCTGTAGGAATAAGGTTTTGTAAAAATTGCCAAGATAATTAAAATGGTAACGATATAAGATAGATAAATGAAACATATTGAAATCAAATTATGTATTGTGAACATAAAAGGGGACGAAATGTTTCTTCAATGTCCACATCTTGATATTAAAATCGAGCTAAAACATGACAAGAATAGAGCAGAAAATTTAGGAAAAGCCAATTATCACAGTTACGGGCAGCAGAAATCATACGTATTTGTCCCAGAGAGCACATTTCAAACATTTATACGAAAATTATTGTCTCTTTTCGTTTTCTAGCATGCGATTCCTTGCACTGGGGTGCCGGCTGTTCCAATCTCTGTGACTGCAGCGCACGCTCCACGCGCTGTGACAGCGTCATCGGCTGTACCGACTGTGTCCCTGGATACGAGGGTCAAAACTGTAACAACGACATAGACGAGTGTGCCCTGAATGCGACTTTATGTGGTGTGAATGCCCAATGCAGCAACACACAGGGCTCTTATGACTGCACATGTTTAGCGGGATATACTAAAAACAGTAATGGAGTGTGCATAGGTAAGCGGTCGCCATAAAAACGCCATTGGTGTTTCATTGCTTCACGAGATGTTGGGTTTTGCATAAATGGATCTCTTTTGTAAATCTACCCCATAACCGCATTTGCCTTTCAGTTTAGAAAAAATATATTGCGCAATGTTTCTTAAGTCTCATTTGCTATAAAAACGTTGGCAATTGAAATTTATGGATTTCCTACAAAAGTAATCATTTCACGCTTACTGTGGAATCTTTAATAAAGAAAGTACATTTAACTTTCGAATGCCATTGTTACTATATTATAAGAAATATCAATAAGGTCTTCTTGTTATTATGCTAACAATTATGATATATATATATATATTGTCACTTTCTTTATTATTATTATTATTATTATTATTATTATTATTATTATAGATATCAATGAGTGTGCTGCCGCCACTGACGGTTGTGAACAGGTGTGTAATAACTCACCTGGCAGCTACACCTGTGGTTGTAACCCCGGGTACACCTTGACCAACTCCACACACTGCACAGGTAAGTACTGGCAGCATTCTTTTCCAATGACACTTATTCTTGCCTGAGCCTCTCGCCGTTAACATGCCAATCTATTCAACAAAAACGCTTTCTTTGAAGATGCTTTTTATCCCAAAAGTTTCGTTAGTTTGAGTATTTCGGAAAAATATGCCGATTTGTACTTTTGGACATTTTTTGAAGCAATAAGCAAGGGCTTGCCTGAATCCTTGTGAATGTTTGGTAGTGCAGATGTCTTTTGTTATATTGTGGTTACGCAACAATTAACACGGATAAGTCTTGCATCGATAAATTCTACAAAGTAAAGAAAATCTCATCGTGCGGAAATTTCATCAAATGTTTAATCTCTGTAGGAGCAAATCGATACATTTTAGAACAATTTGTATTTAAATTTTTTTCCATTGAAATGAACACACATTTTCCTTTCACAGACGTAGACGAGTGTCTCCTTCAGACGGACAACTGTGACCACGTATGTTCCAACACTGTTGGAAGTTTCAGGTGTTCTTGCTTCAACTCGGATTACCAGTTGGCTCTCAATGGATACACCTGTAACAAAGGTGAGATTGAAATGGAACTTCGGTAATATTATTGATATTTTCTTTGCTCGAAAAGACAAGGAGTTCGGAAAGTCCATTTGCTTAGGTGTCTGGTATTCACCAGAACGTCAAACGGAAGAATCCTGCAAACATATTCGACAGATTAAACGAACAGATTAGCTAGATAGAACTTTCTTTTCTCCTTTTTATCACATTAAAGCACCTGTGTTTGGAATCAGCATACACAATTACTCACCATCTCTGTTATCCTAAATTTCCAGTGGCGAATGCTTCCCTCCAAGCTTGTATTGATGCCGGGCTGAACTGTAACCAGGGTTTGTGTAATGCTACGGCAAGTCCACCCGTGTGTTTCTGTCGCAGTGGCTATCAGCTACAAGGCAATGAGACCTGTATAGGTGAGTGTGTTTTACTATCGTGAATCGATATTTCATGTCACTTATTCCACCTACAGTTACGGATGCCAAAAGTATTGTTCATTATAATAATAATGGCTGTTTTGCAGTATTTTCTTGCAACAGCTATGTATGGTTAAATAAGGTGCATTATTTCATATCTATTGCTTTTCTCTATACTTAGACATTGATGAATGTGCCCAGAACCTGGATGACTGTAACAGTAACACCAGCACATGTAACAACAACGACGGCAGCTACACGTGTAGTTGTAATAGCGGGTTCCTGCTGGAACAGAGTGACCAAAGGACTTGTAACGGTCAGTATGTCCAGTGTGTCCTTCTCGCGTGCTGCTTTTCCATGAATACTGAGTCGTTAAGTACATGAAACCTGTTACAGAACACATAGTTTTGGATGTGCTTACTTTTTGTAACATATTCGACCGATTGTTTCTTTTTAAATCTAAGAGGTTTAAAGTCCTTCTAGTTCTGCAAATACTACGTAGTAGTACAGTGTAGTACTATTTTAATGTTGTAAGGGGCCAAACATAAAAAGATTTAGCAGATTCCACTACATATCAATATCACCATCTGTAATGTGCTGTTTTCATGCTTTATGTCATGTTTTTACAGATATTAACGAATGTGACACAACCAACAATTGTGCTTCCAATGCCCAATGTACAAACACATTTGGTTCCTATACGTGCGCATGTAACCAAGGCTACAGCGGTGACGGCCAAACGTGCACCAATGTCGACGAATGCTTGACCACGCCTTGCCATACGAACGCCACGTGTAGGGACACCATTGGTTCATACACGTGCACGTGCAATTCTGGATTTTCTGGCAATGGTCAGACGTGCTCGGACATTGATGAGTGCACGACGACCAATGACTGTAGTCCTAACGCTGACTGTACCAACACTGTGGGAAGTTACACCTGTGCTTGTAAGAGTGCGTTTATTGGAAATGGAACGGATTGCAAAGCCTTACAAGGCATCAAAGGTGAGGGGATGTAATCATTAGTAAAGATGAAAGCGGTAGTTTAAAAGCCAATACATAGCTATAGTAACAGCTATAGTTTATATACATCTTAAGACATTATTATTATTATTATTATTATTATTATTATTATTTCTGTTGTTGTTGTTGTTTTTATTATTTTTCTATGGCAGTTGTTTTATCTTAACTAATTGGCAGTCCAGAATCTTTATGTTAGCCAATGCTCTTCGAAGGATACGGAGAATAAAGATAAACAGCTAAAATTGCTTAGCCTATGTCTGCCCCTTCATAGTAATTTAAATAATGTATGATTACGTCATATGTAAGGCATGTTTGTTTTCCATTGCAGTGAAAATGGTCTTTGATGAAGTTTATTCGCCAACTAAATACCAAACCGGATCTGCCGACTATCAAATACTGTTGAGAACCGTAAGTATCTTCAAGAAGTATGGAAGAACACGGAAGCGTTGCCGATGGTTCTTCGTTATTGCACGATTTATCAGTTTTATTATTAGTTTATGTAACATTGTACATTTAAACCCATTTTGCTTGTAATTTGCAGGTTGTCATTTATAGTTATATAACACATCGTCTCAATGAGTGATACACAGTCGTTAAAAGATATATTTGTTTTCAGCTCGAAGACTTCTACAGGAGCTACCCAGGCTTCTACCGTATTGACATAACGTCGATAGAGTAAGTCAATCAGTCAGTCTTTCCGTCAATGAGACTCTCTCTCTCTCTCTCTCTCTCTCTCTCTCTCTCTCTCTCACACACACACACATACACACGAGCGTGCGCGAACGTTTGCAATTTTTGTAAGATAATTAAAATTAAAAATAATTAAACCAACATTGCTTTCGTGTGTCAAAAAACAGGGAATCTTCCCTATAAATATCTTGCTCGCATACTCGCATTTCAGGAACGGTAGTGTTGTTGTCTACTACACCGTGCAGCTGAACACCACGGCTCCAGAGAATGAGACGGAGACCAACCTTTCCCTGTACATTCTCAATGGAGTCCAGGCGGCCAACAACAGGCTTGTAGACCCAGGGACTGGGACAGCGACATTTACGCTTCTCAGAACACCTGACTTGGTCATAGGAAGTGTAACAGGTATTATTATTATTATTATTATTATTATTATTATTATTATTATACAGGTATCTTCCAAGTTTCAGAAACATTAAGAAAAACAAAAGTGGTGCTGTATGGTATGCGGATTTGATTTTCAGTTTTTATAATGTGTTCCATTTCCTTTTATTTGGTACACGCTTTTAAGTTAATTTTTTAGAAAATGCTGTATGAAAACCCAGATAATATATCGTCTTTCATTGAACAGATATCGACGAATGTCTGCGGAACAACGGTGACTGCGACAGCAATGCTGCGTGCGCCAATACTGTCGGCAGCTACACCTGTACTTGTAACTCGGGTTACCATGGAAACGGCTTCAGATGTGACAGAGACACAACGTACAGAGGTAAGAGAGTCGTATTTGAAAGTCGATAACCTATCAGTACTTCAAATATCTTTGTATTAGTTTAAGGTATGATACATAGACGCCTTAGTTGTGATTAAGCCGATGTTATATGTTGCAATATGTAAGAAAAGTTGCGTTAAGAACTGATCATGTGTCGTTAGAAATTTGCCTTTGTTTGTCTAACCCGAAAGTCATTAACAGTGATGGTATCTTTTTGCAAAAAATTGATTTTTTAGATTTTAGTAGATTAAATGGTCACCTTGTTTCTATCTTCTAGTCAATATGACGTTAGATGTAGTTGACCCGACGCCGTACCAGAACCCTTCTTCTGCTGAACGCGTTATCCTCACCAAGTCGGTAAGTCTTTTTTTTCTCTTGAATTTTGACGTCAAGATTATTTGAATTTGGCTTCACTTCACCGCACCACGTGAAACTATTCTTTCAAAAAAAAAATATATATATATATAAATAAATAAATAAATAAATAAATAATAATAATAATAATAATAAACAGATGTTACATTTGACTTCCAAAGATGTAATTCATTCAGAATGACTCACTTCTTCATGCTGTACATATGTTGTGAGATATAAACTCTGATTTTGGAATTCGAAATCTGTGGCCACCTTAAAGGAGGACCTAACGTAGGCCTACATGAATATTGCATTTTAATCCTTAAGAGCTGTTTATAGATGAATAATCGATATGAAAGACCTTGTACAAAGCTAACAAATAATGTTTTATTTTTCAGTTGACGGGATTCTATCAGGCGTTCCCAGGATTCAGAGAAGTTGTTGTTACTAACACGTGGTAAGTTTTATCTAGAATGATGAAATGGGTCAATTGGTCTCTCTATGGTTTATAAATAGGCTGTTATGATGCTTTTATTTATTTTACTTTCACAAATAAAACAGTAATAGTACTGTGTTATAATAGCATTTCAATTGCCATGAAGTCGAATGTACACGAATGGGCGAAGTTTCTGTGTTATGTTTTTTTTTATCGCCCACAATTTTTTAAAGACATAATTTTAACCACACTGTATATTCATTGATATTAAATTTGCAGGCATGGCAGTTTGATAACAGAGCACAGCGTCCGTACGAACACAACCGGGGCTAATCTGACAGCTCATAGACAGGCCATGAAGGAGTACATCCTTACCAAGTTAAAGGCCTTGAGTTACGTCTTCAGCGAAGAGAATGTCTACTTCCCCGTGCTTGGCACGCCCACTCTAGACGGAGGTGAGTTTAGACTCGTGTTAGTAATAATTAGAATAAATATATATATAAATATCGGCGTCTTGTTAATGTTGCTACACGTGAATTAAGTTTTTGGATGACAGTACAAAATAAGAAGTCAAGAATACTGACAACCCTTGTAAATTGACCGATTTAACGTGCTTTCCAACTCGTTCTAGTTGTACTGAAACCGTGTGAAGTGTTCGGATGTCAGAACGGGGGACAATGCGGCACTGGCAACCGTGGATACTGCAGGTAAGTGAAACATGGGACGTCTCCATACGGTAATATGGGGAAGCAAATATAGGCAGAGGGTAAATTGTCAGTAAGGAATGGGTTTTTTGAGAGTTATTTTATAATTTTTAGACATTCTTGTAGACTTAATAACCTTAAGTGAAGTGAATAGAGATTTTACTAACTTACTTATCCACTTCGAGCCATAGATCACTAAATTATTGCAACTTATAAAAATTCGCTTTGTTAGTGCTGCGTTGGTTATATCAGCAAAGTAACCAGTACCGTTTTCTCTTGACCATAAGTATCCCAATTTGATGATGCCACTATCATAAGAACCAACTTTCTGGTTTTAGTGGGAACACAATAAAGACAACTGACAATCACAAATTTCCGTATTTAATGCGTTTTTGCCATTTCATTAGATGCCAGGTAGGCTTCAGTGGCGACCTCTGTGAGACCAAGGTGGGACTGACCCAGGACGAGATCGCCATTGTAGCAGCCAGCACTGTGGGCGGAGTGGCGCTGATTGTGGCCATCTGCATTCTCATAGCTGTCATCGTCTACAAGAAGAAGAAGGCCCGCGAGGAGAAGCTAAAGCGAGGAAGCAGATGGCGCAAGTAAGTAGGAAATACTTAAATCGACTGTAACTGTTACGGGTATTTCGTTAACAAAGGTATTTTGCCTTGTCTTTTATACGGGTATGTGCAAAGTCAGCTTTGGAACTGTGAATCGATGAAGTTTAATCCTATCTGGGAAATTTTACCACTTCTGTCCCAACACAATATTTATTCATTTATTTGTTAGTTTCGTTAAATTTAATTCATACGTTTCACTTGTTAAATACGTTTAAACACGTGGCTTTGCAGTATGCAGTAACGCTCTCATAATTACATTTTTCTTTATGAAGTTAATCAAATCTCCACTATTCCAGCTACCTCCACGACTCCTACGGTCCGGCTACAGGTATCTTCCACCCTAAGTACACCCCCTACTGGCAGCACCTGGGCCGGGGAGGTTTGGCCAGTACGGTGTCCGGCAGTAGTAGCCGGGGGTCAAGCTCGGGAAGCTCGAGGGAAGATTACCTTCACAGAGACAGATTCAAGTCCATGAATATATATGATAATAACTGGCGTGGCGGTGAGTACTGATTTTCTGGTTTTGGCTTTTACTTACGTAATTTTTAGCTGACACAAATTTGTGTACATTAACATAAATTCATACAATGCAATAAATTTTAGGCAAGTTTTAGTTTTCTTATTGTAATTCCTCAGATTTCACTGAATGAAAATACGTTTCAATGCAACAACAAAAAATATATGTTCAGTTTATTAACTTCGTTTAACTACATGTATAATAATAATAATAATAATAATAATAATAATAATATATTTTCTTTGTTTTTCTTCCCTCACAGACCAGTCTGATCCGGACATATTTGGCTGGGACACCCTCCTGACGGGCAGCCTGGACCCTGAGCGGGAGTTCAGGATATCACGGCCTAAACTGGCGGGAGGGAGAAACACGGCGCAGGTACGTGCCTTTAATACTTATATGCTCACTATAAGGCTGTTATTAATTTAAAAATGTAAAAAGATTAAATGATACATAAATGAGATAAATGAGTATTTGGACGCATATTAAAATGGCACAGAATTAAATATAAGAAATCCTAAGAGACCGTCAAAATTCTTGTCCAATACTTTGGACAATTTCGTGCATTTAATTTATTGTTCTTTCATTTTAACTTTTTCCGTCGTTGAGAATATCTGAGCAGTTTGTTATTGGGGTGATTGGCTTCTTTTTTCTACAGATTCTGTTAAACGAATATCTTTTTTTTTTTTAGATTCGACTGCGACCAGAGAGTAACGCTTAGCTGTACAGCAACCTGGCCACCACCACCCTGACCCCCCCCCCCCCCCCTTAAATACATGACAACACATTATCGTGGTGTACAAAATATTACTATTCGAGATTTTTTATCGCAAAGTTCATTTTTAATATTTTAACTATATCAATGAAAAAAGACTTTTAAAATAAATGCAACTATGAGATTATGTACAAAATCTAAAACATGTCTAAGAATACTAATGTACGGGCTTCCAGGTGTAATATAGTAATATATTGATGTAGATAACCATTAAGAATATTGTTCGTAGTAATTAAAGATATCACATTAATCACATAATGTTTTCTATTTATCGCTTGTGCAATACTTTTTCATGAAAAAGGATTGTACATTCCGGGGAAGAATCCCGTTTTAAGAGTTGATATTAAAAAGTTTTATACAACAAATAGATATTGTAAATGAGCATATTATTGTAAATAAAGACATTTGGTCCATTTTTGAATTGTTTATTATTTCCGGTTAAGATTGTTTTCGCCTGCGTTGATTTTAAAATAGCCTAACTCAACTTGTATAAATTCTACTGAGACGTTCTTTTATTAATACTTATGTGTTTAAGAGGCTTATTTACCTACAGTGAGCGACTGACTACTTTTAATTTTTACTGTCTTAACATTATGCAAGGAGCCGAAATGGTAACGTATGTTCCGGATCATATAATTTAAATATTACATCGCGTTCCGATATATTTTGTAGCGGTTTGGTCATGGTAAATTAGACATGACGTAAGGATGTTTTTCATAAACATTTAAACTGTTACTCAAACAAAGGGGTTTGTTTCGTGTCGGACGGCGACGACATGGACAGACAGACCGATGAGAAAAAAGCACACAACTTGGGTTTTATTTTATACTTTTTAAACTTTATTATGTACTGTAAAAAACAAAACAAACAAAAAATAAATAAATAAATACAAAATACTTGAAAACATAAATATACAGTTTCTCTTTGAAAGACGAAATGCATGAGGTATATAATAAACTACAATCGTTGCATCTTTCTTCGCAGGAACCCAATACTTGAGTAAGTATAGAACTGTTCTTTATCTCTACAATGCCTTTTTATCCCCTAGAAATATTTCTGTAATCAACTATTATTTATATTTAAAATTCCATCTAGTTATCCTTTGGTTTCATAAATAACATGCACATCCGGGGAGATACCTAGTCAGCATTATTGTCTGAGAGAAAAAAAATCAATTTTCTTAGTTACTACTTTTTCAGTTTCTGTGCACGGTTCTTCAATCAGAAGATGAGATAAGCGTTACTGTCAAGCCAGACAGTAAAATCCTGGAGAAAAGTGACTCTCTGTTTACAGAAGTTTACACCATAGTTACCAACTGATTAACATAGTTGACAAATTTACTTAAAGTGAACTGTGCCTAACGTAAAATTGAAAATGGACCCCAAATGAGGGATTATAATCTTTTCTTTTCAACACAATTTCTACTTTCAATGCGGAAAAGTCTACAAATATTACACTGGGCATACATGCAATTTTTCACTGTCTAAAATTGTCTGTAAACCTATCCTACATGTACATCCAAAATATTTAAAGACAACATTTCAGAATTGAGATCAAATAAGAAAAAAGACTTCAATCTTAATGTGCATCAGCTCTAAATTCTAAATTTAGGTGAAGAAATGACATACTTCATGAAAAATTAATAAACAAAAAATTGATAAACATTTTTTCACAAGCATGAAAATTTTAGCAACACTGAAAGATGGTAAAATTAGTATGGTGCCACTAGCAGGGAAAATCAAAGATGTCTTTGTTGATGTCAGTGCCAAAATGACAACAGCCAGTTATGTCCTATTTCCGCAAAATGTGTAAGGCTAAGCTTGAAATTGTACTAATGCAAAGGCATCATTCAAGAAACTTATGGACATTTTCTGAACTGTTGCTGTGAAATACAATGGTTTTTAAGCACCAACATTTGTTCTCGTTCACAAAATCATCTTGTTCCTTAAATAACTAGAAACTGCCATGTATAAATGCAAGCAATGTAAGCAGAATTTCTGATAAGACACCAGTTTTATAGTTTTACAAGGTCCACCATTACTGAGAGAAGGTTTCAAAGTTTACCTACTTACGACGCAGACATTCAGAAGGAAGAAAAAGATAGATGCATACTTAAGCTTATTGCACAAATTTTAAAGGTTCAAAATCATACCTATATTTAGAAACATGGTTTATTTCTCAACACATTGCAAGAAAGCATATGGCAAGAGTCCCAGGTTGGGTCCATGTAATATAGGGATGGACTAAGATCTTTTTCCACATCAAGTGGTACACTTTCACTGGACTGGTCCACTTTGGGAGATTGATAACTTAATGGTCTGATTATCCACATAAACAGAGTCTACAAGTTTGAAACAGTCTACACAATGCCAGCATGAGACCTGTTAATCAGATTGCATTCAGCAAGAGTCCCCAAGGAGTTTGATAAGTCTAGGTACAACTACAGTTTTGTTGAACCCTATGCCAATTAACTTAACAGCAGAAAACCCACTTGTGCAGAACTTTTGAGAGGGACCCCCCCCCCCCCTGCAGCATGGTTAAATGGAAGGACCTCAGGAAGCTACCTGGGCCAGTTAACTGTACCACTGGGTGTGAAAAGGGCATAATTATAATAAACCAAGCATATGGTTATTTCACAGCATGTTTTACTTTCAAACTTCGACAGACTTAACTATGCTAGCAACTGCCTTCCACAATGCTATCAACACTGCCTTCCAAAGACTGCAATAATAATAATAATAATAATAATAATAATAATAATGACCAGTAATCATACTGATAATAAATTAAAGATCTAAGCCTGCTTACATCCATCCATCTTTCCAGAAAACAATTAGACCATCTTCCAGAATACCCGCAAGTCACTGGGTATGAACAACTCCCAGATAAGCGTGATATTTTTCAGGCTATAAATGACCCCTGGCTAGGAGTGTATTTTACACAGCTCCTTCCACCTCACTTCAAAGTACTTCCTCATGTTATGGCCAGCTTGACCAACATCAGAATCGTCCTCGTTGAATGTCTGACAATTGTCAAAGATGATCCTGACGTCTGAGGCAAACTCCTGGCGAGTCTTGTAACTGAAATGATACAATACAGTTCTTCTGAGTTTGAAAGAAAAGACATACATAGTCTTGAAGCTTATAATACTATTAAAATAAATTTGTAACATGTAAAACTCCTGGGGACATGTAGTTAAATAAGTAAATCTCAATGGGCTACTGACAGTAACAGTAGGTTAATATATATAGACATGGTGATTAAAATTGCCCTAGGATTTTAAAAAATACAACTAAATAACAAGTCTTGCTTTTTGACGATTTATGAAATGCAATTTAGCCAAAATTCTTAGTAGCCTTTGCAAGGGCCTATATACTACTTAAGTTGTTTAAATATGTGAAAAAGACCCCAATTTCCCCTTATGTTCTCCTGGGAAAGGTAGCCTTATATTATAATTCACTCACTGTCCTAAAGCTTGACTTTCATGATGGTAAAGCCCTTATCCACACAATGATTATCACTGTTTGCTTCAAAGACTCAAACAAAAAGTTTACAACCTTTTGGGTCTTTCATGATATGAAACTAGCCAGCAACAATTCTCAGTGCCCTTTGCTCAGAACCATTCCTCTTTTTTTTTTCTTTATTAATATTACTCACTCGTTGTCCTCTAGTTTGGCTCTCATGGTGGCAAAATCCATGGGCTGCTTGATCACCTTCCTGTACTGAGGGAACTGCCTGGTGTTCACTGGCTTTAGGAAGGGCCAACCATCCTCATGGTCCTCTAACTCCTCCAACATTATACTAGGAGACAATACAATGACATTTAGTCATGTCACAGTGTGTATTTAGCAAATATTTGCTTGTTTTTTTCTATAGTTTAACTAGCCATTGTTGCACTAGGAGATCAACACTTAAATGGTAGGTGTATATAATGGATTTCCATGTGCGCTTCCAAAACCATACTTTATTCTTTTTTTACTTCACACTCAGAAAAATATGCAATTAAGTTGATTAACTTGTTCTTGAATGAGATCACAGTCTCTAGAAGCATTTGATAATTTTCAGAAAAATTGAAACCAGTCATAAGATATCTATGTGGGACACGACACAGTGTTGTAAGTACAAACTTGGATTACAAACACTTTGCCAAGGATGTTATTTTAAAAAATCCCGCTGTCTATTTGACTTCTGAATCACTTACCCACAAGGTGTAAGATCCATGGCATTTTCTTCCTTACTCCTCTTCTCCCCGGCTGCCTTGGCTGCTTCCGTCAATATTTCTAGTTCCTTCTCTTGCTTACTCTTCCGTCCCCTTTTCCCTTTACATTTGGTTTTGTTCATTAGACAGGAAATACAGGTGTACTTTCTTGGCAGTCTGAGATTAAAACAAAAAGTTGATGTGAAGTTTAAAAGCAGAAAATTTTGAATGACAAGTAGATGAATTGCTGAAAATTGGGGAAAAAATTTGCCAAAACACTAGGAAATGCATGTTTAGGAGTACACAGTAACATTTCCTTTTTCACTGGTCCAGAAACAGTGCTGTCATTACCAAAGCTGTTTGGAGATAAAATAAATAAATAACTTGTTATAAAAATAAATAAATGAATCCCCTCTCACCTGGGTAACGGAGGATTTAAGCAATCAATGTGGTACGCCTTATCGCACTTGTCACATTCCGCCATCTTGCCGTTCTTCCTCCCACACACCAGACAGTGTGGATGACCTGACGCCTTGGAGATACACTCGTAACAGTACCAATCTCCGTCTGGAATATTCTCCATCTTAGGCTGAAATATTTAACATATATGTCACAGATTGATCATGTTACCATCAGTTTCTTTTCTCTTTTTTAACTTAGAAATCCTACTAAGTTAAAACTGAACACCTGTACATTAACAGATCCCTGAATCATGGATTTTCTTTTTCCTTTTAAGAGGAACATCAAGTGCCAGGGAAGTAGTCATAATGACTCCATATCAATATTGATAACTATATCAATATCATCAACATTTTGGTTATAATCTGGTGGAGAGAGGCACTTAGTGTAAATTGCTATCCCTAGCACATTGTGAAGGACACACACACACACACACACACACACACACACACACACACACACACACACACACACACACACGTATATTATACCTTGAAGCAGTAGGTGTGGAACCCCTTGTCACAGCTGTCACATAGTAATAACTCTGCCTCATTATCATCAAGATGGCAGATCTGGCAGGACTGAAATGAAATTATAAAATTTTATGTCACATAATCTTAAATTTGGTTTTCAACTAGAAAAAATGAAGGAAAATAATACAAAGTCTAAAATCTGGATGATAAAAACAGAAGTATAGTCGGCAAATTCAAATAAAAAATTTATTTTTCACACCAGAGAACCACAAATCTCAAAAACGACTTTCTTGGTCTAAAAAGGCTGAAATATGCAGGCAGAAAGAAATGTCCACACCAAGATCAGCTTAAATTTACTGATGTGATGAAATTGAGGTGTAAAATCATTATCTTTCTGTTCACAATATACATTTAACAGAATCAGAACTTTGACTTTATTTGTAAACCCAACATCAGAGTGGATTTCTCTTTGGCAAAGGTCACAAACATATAAACATGGATTTCATCTTAGTGAAGGTCACATACCACTTTCATTATGCTTTTCTCCCAGGCTATGGCCTTGTTCAGCTGTAGTACACACATCATCAGCTGGGATGGATTCGTTGCCGAGGTGACAGCCCGTCGCCATAGCAAGAGAGCTGGTGTGGTGTCATCTGTGTCGCTGTCGTCTGAAGAGGACGGACTCTCGTTCCCTGGCTTGGTCAGCTTGGTCATGTCCAGCTCTGGCCTGAAGGTCAAGTAGAAAAGTGTTAACCAGACAGGCTTTATTGACAGAGAATATCATCCCATTTTGACTATCATCTACTTACTCCAACTGTTGTTGTGATATCAACAATCTACACCAGAATATCATGTTAGGAATCTGGCATCCATGTTGCATATTAAACTGCACTTTAATTTGTCCAAATCATCCTCCAATTGCAGAAAAAATAACATTTAATTTATAAAAGGCATACATGAACAATTCACAGCCAATCTTTGAATTTGGTAGCTAAGCTGTAATGCATTGTAATGCTGGTAAGTACAACTAAATTGTATAACCTCACATTTGATTAAACTGTAACTTAAAACAAGGCAGCAAAGCTGTCAAATGTACAGACAAAGAACAGAAAATAAAGATGCAAATAAGTGAAAAATTAAATTTTCACAAAAAACTGTTAAATTGCCAGAAAAATTTACCAAACAGACTGCGTTGCCTATTGAAGCTGTATGTTAGACCCATGTTTCTTTCCTGTAAGTTTGAGAACAGTAAGTGACATGATTTCCCTTAAATGGTCAGCATAGGAGCAGTGCNTAAAAGGAAAACAATTTTGCTTATCAAGCTGTTTTGACGCAATTTTAAATTTTACAACAATTTCAGATGCCAAAAAAAAAAACTTGCTCACTGAAAAACTTCCCCAGGACTCATGTTTTGTGTAATACTCACGACTTGATGAAGGGAGGCTTCAGATATCTTCTCTCAATGTTGTTCTCTAAATTCACCAGTCTCTCTTTGGCCAGCTCCAATGGATAGAACTCATCATCCTTCTTAATGATGGTTGTCCTGGAGACCAGCTTCACCTCTTCCTCTTCTGTGGCTTTGGGGGGCAGCTTCCATCCCTGAAACCATGAGGACACATCACTAATAGGATACACTATAGTGTTTTATATACTTATAGTCTTTACCTATAACTTTTCTGTCCATTGGACACTCATGCTAGAAGACTTAAAAAACTATCAGTTTAAATAGAAATTAACTTGTCTGCAGCTTAAATCCACAAATAATGGAAAAAATATAAAACATCCACTAAAAGTTGCACTAGTCTGGTTTGTTGAAGAGCTTTGAAAAATCCAAATTTTTCACAAGTTGGATGCAAAATTAATTTGGTTGTAATCATTTAATATCCTCTCTTCCAGACCCTCTACCAGGTCAATCACTGTGTACGGTACCTACCTTAACTTGTAAACTGGCATTAAATATTCTCTCCTCCAAACTCTCCACATCCTCTAGGACGGAGATCTCCAGGTCCAGGGCAGTCTCCGGCAGCCAGAGGTCGTGGGGGTCAGGGTCAGGGGCACCTGCCTCTGTCTGCGAGATCTTCTTGTCCTGGTCTGTGATCTCCAACTCTGTGGCTGAAGTAATGGGAGACAGAATAACATTTCAGTTTGGCAATTTTTTTTTCTTCTATTTATTTATTTTTAGAGGGGGGTCTTTTTTATGTTACATGCCATTTATGTATCTGTGTTATTTTTTTCTTTTTTATGTTACTTAATTTTTATTATTATTTTTTTTTTTTTGAAAAAACTTAAAAAAGCATGATGTGAAAATATCAACTGGTTCATACAAAGTGACCTTGACCTAGGATATAAGTGAATACTACTCAGTTTACCTTCCTTGCTTCCTTTGCTGCAAGCTGTACATGCATAGTCGTTGTATTTCTGTACTGTCTTCTGCAGGGCTCTCTCCCTTATCCCTCTCATGTGCAGACACCTCATCACCTGCTTCAGCTGATTGGGGTCTGTGATCCTCCACCAGCCACGCTCAAGTTCTACAGTGGAAAAAAACATGGATGAACATGTGTAAGTCAGGTACTCTAAACAAAGATGTCATTTAATAATGGGAGTGTTTTTCTATGGAACCTGCGTACATTTCAAACTACAAATGTTTGCTATCTATCTGTCAGGTTTTGCTGTCTATCCATCAGTTTTTTACAGGCACAAGAGAGAGAGAGAGCATGGGAGAGAGGCCTACCTTTAGGTATAGGTTTAGGCTCTGAGTGTTGCTTTAAAGCTTCTGCTGGAACCTCTTTGAGCCCTGCCACTGTCTCTATTGCACCATGTGACGTACCCTGAGTATCCGGCTTAGAGTTTGGTCCTGAGTGAGGTATTGGACTAGATCCAAACACTGGTAAACCAGGGTATGCATAGCCCTGCTGGTTGCCAATCTGGCCCATTTGGAAGCCAGCAAAAGTTGGAGTGGAGTTCAATTTTTGGAATGGACTGAATGCACTATGACTTCCAAATGATGAGGAATGCGAGGTCTCCAGACTAGTCTTTGTTTTAGGAGTACCCGGGCTGTGTACAATTGAGCTGTCGTCGCAGGGAACTCTGGGAATGATGCTGAACCAGGATTGGTTGATGGGCTCCACACTGTGGTTCTTCATCACCATATCAATTGTGCTGTTCACAGTGGAACTCAGAGTTGTAGTGAGACAAGACGAACTAAGAAGGCTCGGTGAGCTAACAAAGTCCTTCTTCAGTATACTGTCAATGCTCATGAAACCAGGCTTTGCAGGGGTGGAGGTCGGAGAGGTCATGCTGCTGTTCCCTTTACTGTCCATACTCCCTGTCGCCACTTTCAAACTGTTTTCTTCAGACTTTGGCTGAATTAGGTCACTGAACTTGGTAGTGCTTGGCTCCTGGAGGAACAAATTGGTGCTTGATTTATCCTCACTTTGAGTTTTTTGATCAGGAATGTTGACAGCCCCATTAATTGGCAATGTGCTCATTTCGGTTTTGATTTTTGGTGATTTACAAGTGGAACCCTTTTCCTTTTTGACATCAGAATTCTCTGCTACTTTGTTCCCTTCCAAATTTTCTGTAACTGACAAAGAACATTTTTGATCTTCTGTTTTTAAACTATCCTTCTCGTCATCAGTTGGCAGTTCGCTGGATTCTTTCCCCTCAACAAATATTCCTCCACAGTATGGCAGCACCCAGTAACGGCGTTTGTAGCGGTCTTGACCAAACGCCATTGCACGTAACTTTTGAGCTGCATCAAATACCTTGTTTCTGTACTGACCTTGTTGCTAAAATATCACCAAGGAAACATATTAATAATAATAATGGGAATATGCTTAGAGAGAAATTACTGCTAGGCTTGAACATAAAAAAGATAATAACAAGAATACAAAAATGGCACGGCGCTATGATACATTGTTAACCTTGATGTCCGAAAATAATTAAGAAAGTGCCAGAAATGGAAAATTGTTAAACATCCTTTAGAATCAGATAGACAGTTGGAAGTGAATAACTTTCCACTATCTATGCATTTTATTTTCTTTTTTTTTTTTAACATTAAAAAATTAAAGAAGATTTCTGTCATATAACCACTGTAATATTTCCAAACCTTTGTCAGTTTCTCAATTTTCTTCTCCAATTCCTCTTGTGATACCTGTTCTTCCTCCTGCATGTAAATAGTATGATATTATGACAAAACTTGAACTTAGAGAAGCCACAAAAGCATCTAATATTTTCTTCTTTCCTTGTAATTTATTTCTTTTATACCTATCAGTCAAAAAACTCATTTGGGCTAAAGACAAGGAAAACATGATACCACATACTTCAGCATGACATAAATGGTAGGGAAAACATTCAGTTTATTGGCCAAAACAAAACTTATGCTTTATGTACTAAAAAGTATTGACACTGTGGCAAGTGGTTTAGTCAGATCAAGTTCCATACCTCATGTTCAGCCTCTGCATCAGCATGGCCCTCTCCCTCTGGACCCTCGCTCTCGTTTCCACTTTCATCTTCCCCGTCCTCATGCTCATCATCACTGCCCCGCTTGCTGCTCCTGCCAGATGGCGCCACGCTACTGCTGTCATCGTTGTCCATGGTGAAGATGGAGCTTTCATTGAACATGGTGCTGTCTCCGTTGGTGGTCTCGGCACGGCTGGTGGACGGGGATGTCTTGCCAAACTTCTTGGACTGCAGGTGCTTCATTCTGTGGTGAAAAGAATTACATGACACAAAATGATAAAGGCTCTTACCTACCCAAGGTATACTTTATTGACCACAGTTACAGTACCTAATTGCAATTTTCTTTAGTTATGAAACTGGACTTTCTGTCGAATTTGTAAAGCAATGCATTGGTTCGAGTGCACAGATTACTCACAAATTACTTACTTTACTTTTTTTCTGTCTTTGTTAAATACTACAGAAATTTTAATGATGGGCTATTTATCACAAATTTAATCTTGAATTGGTATTAAATGTGTGTTGCCAAAAACTTTTCTTAGTGCATGCCTAACCCTGGTTTTTTGTCTGAATAACATTGTGCATATAACCAAAGTGTATATAAACTAATATATCATGTACGGCAGGTTCTTCTGAATACCCAATAACTTGGTTCATCACAAATTTCTGGATACTACAACACTAAAGTTACCTTTAGTGGAATATCACAAAATCCTGATATGTTTCTCTTCATTACAACCTGCAACTAATGTTTTAAAGCTATCGTTTCATCTAATACATAAAACAAGTAAATAAGGAAAGTGGCTGAAATTTAGGGACCTACTTTCTTATTTTTCCTTCCACCACCCACTTGTCGCGTCTGAGGTTCGACACTGTGTCAATGTTACGCTCAATTTCACTGAAAAGAATATATTTTTTTTATAAAAAACAGATATTTGAATAAATAAATCCATGAATAAATACATGAAATCAAAATAAATACACAATTGCCATTCAGCTTAAGAGAGAATAACAGAAAGATTAGTTAGAACACAAAATGGTAGGCCCTGCCTCAACCCTCTCCTAAAAAGGAGGAAAATAGTTACAGACCCTTGAGTGATATATACTTCAAAAACTGTTACAAATTACAATTAGTTTTCCAAAACATGGTGTAAAAGTGCTGTCAAGGTCTTTTTTATCATCCTGGATCTCTGTGAGGAACTTGCAACATATTCCACCAAAAATATTTCATCATCGCTTGGATTCTAAATGTTACAGGTATTCTATCAACAATTATGAAAATTAAAAAGAAAATGACATGATCATAATGTTTTTAACAGTAACTGTCATGACTTTTTTTAGTTATATCAAATACTGAAGCCAGATGTGCTGGGAAGAAGATAGAGGGTCACACTCACTTTGTAATAACTTTGCTACACAGCAGTTCGTTGCACAGTGCCCCCAGCAGTGAGGCCTTCTGGGTACTGTTGAAGGCTTGGTAGGGACGGAACTTCAACTGCTCTGTTAACTGAAAATACAGGAGAAATTCAAATTTACAAACTTTGTAGTATTTCCAATAAGGATATGAATTGTAACCAGTGATGTATTATACACGATGTTGATAACTTTCAATGTTGTTATCATGTTTTTAAAGCAGCACCAGTTTTAACAGTTCTTAATGAAAAGGCCAAATAGTTTAACTGTGAGTCCTTATATTAAGTATGTGTGAACTGGATTTGATAAAAAAAACTATTTTTTAACTGTAATCATAATTTTTGATAAGGAATTACTGAGAAGTCTAGGGCATACCTCAAGAATATCTTTTTTTTAAATCTACTCATAATTTTTGATAAGGAATTACTGTCAAGTCCAGGTCATACCTCATCCTGACTCCCATTCCTGGCCACCAAGAAGATTCTCAGAACTTCAGAAATGTTGTTCTCATTCAAATCAACATCTGTTATCTTTTCATTCAGCAGTGTGGTTGCCTAAAACCAATCAAAATATGATATTCTTACAGTATGAAGACTATCATTCATTTATTTGAACAATAATGTTTAGGGTCTCAAAACTTAGTAAAGACCAGCACATCTCTAGTTAAGATATATATTTAGTTCTTATTTTTGCATAAGTTAAATCATACTAATCTCTGAGATAAAGAGACAACTCTATTTGAAATGACCAGACTGTCCACCAGCTATTCATGAATCTTGAATGTGACTCACGAGACTAGAACGAGAGCGTGAGACTACTCATACGGTGACACAGCACAAGACCTACATGGAGTAATAATCATGCATAAATTGAATGTTATCATTGCAACATCTTTAATTTCCATCATTACGATACCTCCTTGGGGTTGGGTACCCCAGGGTCATCCAGAGCAAACTTGAGCAGGTGAGTCATGAGGGAAAGCACTTCTTCCAGCTCCTCTTCATCATTCAACATTCCCATCTGGATTGTGTTCAGGGAGGGGATGGAGTCCTTGTCTGAAATTCATCATATACGGTGTCAAGTTACACAAAAATACTATAGACTGAAAGTCACACAAAACTTTAAGGATGAATATTTTATAAGATGATAGACAAATTCACTTAAGTCCACTAAAATGAAGTAAACAACTGCTTCTTTTCCCCGTTGCAGTTTGGTATTTTTGACATTAATTTAAATGTGGTAACGAGGTTGCCAGTTATTATTTATAAACTGTTCAAATATCCACTCATTACTATTGCCTACATATACATTTTTCATTACAGCACATAAGTTGTATAACACAATGTACTCTAACCATATCTATTCTTGAAAGGGTTACAACTACAGGGAATCAAGAAATATAACAAATCTGACAAAGACAGTATAATATTCAATATGCACCCAATCCTAGAGCATTGCCAAAATTGTGCAGGAATTCCACAACCATGAGGCAGTCTGCAAAGGCTGGCCCTGGTAACTTGACTCCAGGGATTCTGTTCAGGGTGGGGAGAGGCTGGAATAAAATATAACAGGCACTTTAACTAAATAAGATAAAATTAGAGTTGTTATTGACTGAAACATATTTATCATTATTTCATGTGTGTCACCGACAGCTACTATACAGATAAAATTGTGGAAAAATACACTCATGCTACATAAAGCACACAAAAAATGCTACACATGTAAAACTTTTGACTGCTCAAATCAATGAAAAACATATAATAATAAGTTAAAGACAATAAATGGGCTATTTGTTACTATAGGGGATAACTTACATAATGACTGAAAATATTACCATGGCACCTGTTCCATATGAATATAAAATAACTGGAATTCAGGAGCAATGTCCTCTTAACCAAATGAAAAACACAGATTTTTTTGTTTTAATTTTTAAAATATTTTTTTTACCTTGGCATCCATCAGCTGCATGTCTTCAACTGGTTTCTTCAGTTCTTTGGCCATTTGGATTTCTAACCTCTTCTGTTCCTGAAGATGAACAAACAATTATACTTCCTTTATTCTGCATGTATTCCATCAACAAATACAAAACCTCAAATGTACAAGTAAGACAAATATTTCGTCTCTGATGCATGGTTTGTTCTTGACCTAAAAGCTGAGAAGAATTTTGACTTCTTCAAGAAATCAATACATATCAAGCTATTTAAGAGGTGAAAATTTTATAAAAATTAAATTATGTCTTCCTCAAGGGAGTCTGAAATAATATTTCCAAGCAGTAGGCACTGGCCAGCTCTCAGAAGGCACCCATCTTACCAGCTTCCTCTGCTTGGTCAGCCTTTTCTCGGCTTTCTTCTCCTCCTTCAGTCTCTCCTTCTCCTCCAGTTTACGCCGGTTCTCCAAGGCTTTGACCAACATCATGTGCTGACGTCGTCGCTCTCTCTCCTACAATGACAACATCATTGTGAATAAGATGACATTAAAATATTTAACATTGCAGTACATATTATCAAGTTACTTTAATTTACTTCTGAATCACTAACTGCAGCACTGATGATAATTCATTTTAAAAACTGGATTAAGGAATTAAGGTTTCTTACTGGGTTTTTCGATATGTATTTTGTTCAGCTGCACATACACACATACATATATGTCCAAGTTTTTTTCAAGTCAATTGCACTTTTTCTCATCCATGAAGACATAATGTGTGATGTTAAAAATGCAATATTCTAAGTGTTCTCACATACCAAATTTTTTTTATTAAAATTTTTAATTTGACACTGCAGCACAAAGGCTAAACATACATTATCTTCCTGATTTTCCATTTCAATAATATTTTTAAATTTTTAATAATTTTAAATATACAAAAATATCTAACTAACTCTGGAAAGCCTAAGAAAATGTTGGTGGGGGAAGGCAAATAAATTCTTCTTTCTTCATGAACTAATCACTTTGATAATAAAGCTACATAGATCTTTCTGTATATTAAAGGAATAATAACTCTTCATATGAGATCTATATTTCACAATAAAAACATTGTGAATAACTCATAGAAATATAATATATTCTGTTTTACCACAAAAACGGCAGTTATAGCTATTTTTTCTGATATCTGAGCTTGTCTTTAGACCACGTGACCTCCATTGATGGCTATACTCTGTTAAAATCTCTTAAGAGAGGTGTAATGTTAGTTTAGGGAAGTCTTTTTTTTTTTTTTTTGTACATTCAGGCTGTAATTTCAATAAAACTGAGTTCTAAAAAATTGCCTGAAAGTACTAATGGAGACATGGTACCTCACTGACAGAAGCTTAAACAATCTACTCAAATACAAAGGTGAAAAATGAAGACTAAGATGGAATAATATACACAGTACTTGGTTTATAAAGTATGAAGAGATCTACTCTCTCTCTTTCTCTCTTTCCTGTCTTCCAAACTGACATACAAAACAGCATTTATTCAAAATTTATGTCACTGGCAAAAAAAAAAAAAAATATATATATATATATGAACAATTTGAAAAGGGCAGAAAATATCTAATTCATAAAAGCAACAGTGATATAATAGAACCCTGAGTTTCACAATCCTGCTCTTGGCTCTCTGGCATGTTATAGCTATGAGGGGCAGTCTAATCTTATAATGACAATGTGTACCAAAGTTCTGCCATCAGAAATGCCAAACTCAGGACGTGTTAGTGAGATATAAAAGTGTGTCAACTCAAACCAGAAATAGCCAAAATGACATCACCAGGAGACCATGCATATCATTTTGACTATCCCACACCTCCCCCCCCCCCCCCAAATCCCTCACCCCAATGCCGTCTTGGGAAAATAAATATAATGCCATCAGTTGAGCAATTTTTGGTCTGAATGCGTGTAAATTAAGAGGTAAAGTTACATACCAAGGTAAGTACCATGTTAGCATACAGCTGCCTCTCTACTTCCTGAGCAGCAAAGGGGGGAAAACAGACAAATCAAACATCAGAACACAGAAACAGCCAGCAGAATGTCTGACAAAATAAGTCTTCCAAATGTAAACACAATATACCCAAGTAGAACAGAATTGTAAGTGATAATGGAAACAAACATGATTAAAACAACAGGAATAACATAGAATGGAATACACACGAATGGTGCAACTTTCAGCCATCACCTTGCCATGCAAACATAAAAAGCCCCTAATAATGTTTCACGCCTGGGGACTTATCATGCTTTATGATAATGTACTTAGATACCCATTTACTTTGATTGGTTGGTTATATGATTATGTTTTCTTGAATCTGATTGATCAGTTGAGTGATTGATGGTATGTTTACTCAACTGTGATTGGTCAAAAACAATCGATTACATCAATTAATGCTATGTTTAGCAATTTTAGTGGATACTCAGTGGGGATTTTTTAATTCCGAAATGTGGCAATAAAAAGTCAAGAACTACCACACAGATGAACAGAAATAAGACAATGTAGCATCCAAATCATGGGCAATTTTTTTTCCTCCTCACCCCCTTTATTTCATGATTATATTTTTGCAGTAACTGTTATTCAGATGCTGCACATACCAGTCACCAATATATCTCTATTGTGGTGTCCTTTACACTCCGCCATGCTTCTCATCCTCTCAATATTCTATTTCCACAAAAATAAACAGCTGCCTTTCCTACTCTAAGACTTCCTCTTTCCTCTCTCTCTCTTTCTTTCTCTCTCTTTCTCTCTTAAAAATTATCAGAAAAATTGAAAGAAAAATATTTTGGGGCATACTTTCTTCTTGGTTCATTCACCTCAATATAGGAACTTCAAACATTACCTGTTCCTGATGGTAGCATTGAGAGCCATCACCATCACACCCTCCCCCCCCCCCTTTTTTTTTTTACTAAACCTAACAACTGGAAAGTCGAAAGAAAAGATTTCACAGCACGGAAAGATGCATGCTTAAGTTTATCAGCAGGTTGACAAGGCTGTTGTTTTACAAGTGGAATTTTAAAAAAAATCCCTTTGTAAATACTAAAAGTGGGAAAAATCAAAAACAGGCCAAGCATATATAACATTTAGTAAATTCAATATAGTTCCAATATATATCAGTCTTAAGTATGCTATAACTAATCAGCATACATCTGGTTAAAAGAAAAGGATTTATTCAGCTTGGAAGCAGGATTTGTTATAGATTTCCCACATAAAACCAGCCTCATTGACTTCCCTGCTGCCCTGCTTCACCCCCACCTCCAGTGACCCCACCCCCACCTCCAGTGACCCCACCCCCACCTCCACAATGGGAAGACCATTTCCGTGACAGAAGTGACCCAAGGGGGCACGTGTCTCTAAGGGGGGTATGGATGTGCAGGGCAGTTTAATAAGTGGACTGCCTGGAAGATTATTGTCTAGTATATCATATATCTGAAGATCTAATGTCAAAATATGCATGCCTGTAGGCAGGGGGGGTTCGGGGGATTCGAAAGAACCGCCCCTTTTGCTGGGAAAAGGTCCACTGTGGGTAAAATTTGATCTAGGTACGTTAAGTTTTTATGGGAAAAGGTCCACTTTTTCAGAAAAAGAACCCCCCTTTTGAAATTGCTGGCTATGGGCCTGATATGTCTATTTTGTTTAGGGAGAACATCCCAGAAAGCATTTATCTAGAGGGACAGACTCTGCGTTTGGGTGTGTGAGTATTGTTCCAGAGTAATATAACAGATAATGCATACAAAACTATATATATATATATATGTTGGATAAATAAATAGATAGATAGATCTACATCCTAGCATGCTATGATAACCACCTACCAAATTAAGTACAAACATCATGTGTTGTTGCCGTTCCCTTTCCTAAGGGTGATGATGAAGTTGCATTAAAAAAAAAAGAGAAGAAGAAAAAAACAGTGAATTTTATGACGGAATCTTGCCAAGAATTCTTCCCATCACAGGCCAAGAATAAAAGTACTACACCACAACACAGAACATTCAAAAATGCACAAACAACTGACAGAGAAAATGAAATATTTGTTGACAAAATATGTAAATCCTGAAATCAAGACTTCTCTTTGGAACAGACAGGCAACAAATATTGAGACAGACAAGTGGGCACATTGAAGTGGGAATTAGGAGGTACATTCAACATGATTCAGACTCAACTTCTTAAAAATCCACCATCTTCCTAATTTACTCAAAAGAAAAATAAAAATAAAACTTCTCTTCTGTCACCGAAAGTCACACTTAATAATAAGCCGGAGAATTAAACAAATGTTTATCCATATATTTCACCCTCTTTTAGTGCATCCAAAATCTTTTGTACGTGGAAGAAGGAATGTGATCCTATGACATTCATAAATGACATAAAAAAGCTCATTATTAGGGCATAATAATTGGCATGCTTTCTGGTGCAGAATATTTTTTTTGCTCACTCCACTGAAGCTTGGTGGAACAGACTGTTGACAAACTAGCAAAGGGTAGGTTTCAGAAACAAGTGAAAGCTATGTACTACGACTTCTGAAAGCTTCATGCTAACATCCATTGCATGCAAGATCACATTTGACAGTTAATAAATAAATGTTTCAAAATCAAATATACCAGGAGATATAAACTTGTGCTATGTAGAATTGGTAGAAATTTATTTGTGGAAGGGAACTCAAAGAAACAGTTTAGCAATTTAGGGGAGACCAAACGCCCATGATTCAAAGATTCATTTTTCTAAAATTTAATTGAAGATTTGAACCAAACAAAGACAATTGCATATTTATAGACATACAAAATTAACGAATGAATAAATAAATAAATAAATAAATAAATAAATAAATAAATAAATAAATATAGACAAGGGAATTTCATTTCAAGATAGATTAATATATAGATCACAATGCACAATATTATTTGGTTTCATGTCTCCCCACCCCCCTTCCCCCAACTTTACCCATATAAAATTTGAAAAAAAAAATCACAAACAGCAACACACAGCAACAACATATGGTGGTGAAACTCCACGAGCACACAAAGTGAAAAGCATGCCTAAAAACCTAATTCATATGGTAGATTTACAATGCAATTTAGGCAGGTTGTTCTATAATGATTATAATGATTTTGTCACTTTCAAACTGATGTGAGGTCTTTAAATGTGTTACCTTTCAAAAACCCCTTCATTTATTTTTCTTGTGTAAAATCACCTACATAGTGATAAGCAACCATCTATAAATGACATCAGTTTAGATGACTAAAAAGAAACACAATGGACAACCTGCACACTGGAGAGATGACACAACAACTACATTATGCACTGGTCACAGTTCATAAGTTTCAGAGCAAAATCTCCAAAAGAATACAATAATTATAGGTGCCATCACTGTTATTGCAGTTTATTCTGGAATCAAATATGAACTGTTTACTCTATCCACATGCAATTATGTCATCCTCATGTTGAATTTTAAAGGAATATTGCTCTGAAACTTTGGACTGTAGAATGGATACGAGAAAAGACAGGTCCAAAGGGTATTATTTCTTAGTTTCGTGTGAAACAACCAGAAAAGAAGTGTTTTTTAAATGTAAAAAAAAAAATATTGTTTTTGGATCTGTCTTTAAAAAGAGTTTTTAGGCTGTAAAACCATTCATTTTAACCACCCCACTTCTAGGATTAACTTTTCTATCAAACATACAACTGGCCAATCATTCACTTCTTGCAGTTGAGAAAAAAAGACTCTGAGGCCTTAACTTGCATACATGGGCATGTCATTGCTAATAATACCAGTCTTCTATATTACTGCATAAAGGATAGGATGCCAAATAAAGTGCAAATAAATATGAAGACCAGCCTTCAGTTAATTTGACAAAATAATTAAAAGATTTTTCAGAAGGGTGGGTCGGAGGAGGGGGGGGGGAGGTGCAAGTGCGGGTGGACAAAACAAATGGTTTTACATTTTTGTCAAAGATAAAAACCACCTTGACCCACCTGTTCTTTAAGAAGAACAGCCTGCTGTCTTTTCAGTTCTCGCTCCTACAAGAGAATTGTTATCAGCTATGAAGACCTTCAGTACACTGACACATGTATGGTAATTACTGTACAATGTCAAACTCCTCACTAGTCTCGATAAAAATAATTATTTTCAGATATTTGGCAAAAAATGCACTTTCTGCCTATAAGCTAGGTAAACTCACTTTTCTGAACTTATGAATCAACATTTGTTTTATTCACAAAGCGTTGTTTTGAAGAATATCATTTATTCCTTTTTTGTTTGCATTTAATCAGTAATTACCATACAAGAGCACATGCCGGGGGGAGGGGGGGGAGGGGGGGGGTCTGAGGGATTACAAGCTACATGTTACATCACATGCTCAATCCCAAGTGTAACACTCATAAGGAGGATGGGATGTATAAATCTACATCTATATGGTCCTCTTTTTCTCATCATTTCTACATTGTAGTTATGTATTCTCTCCTCAGTAAGGACTACTTTGTTTTATAACACACATCGTTATATACTCCCAAACACTGATGTATGCCTAATTATAATAACACTGCGATATACACATGTACGAGTACGACACGACATGACACGAGCCCAAAGACATGCATACCTTGGCTTTTCGCAGCGTCTCCGCAAACCTTTGGGACTGGAGCTCCTCTTTCCTACGCTTCCGTGCCTGGATAGCATGCAAAGCAAACATGCATTATACGAACGAGTGGAACAGCCACTTGTGTGCATGTGTGTGTGTGCGTGTGTGTGTGTGTGTGGAGGGGGAAACAACCCTTGCACGTCAAGGTTTCTGCCATGATTCTTTCATAGCACTGAACACGAATGGTGCAATTTTGATAAAAATACCAGCATAATATCATCTTTTCCTCCTTTTTTTTTTTTTGGTCAATACTTTTTTTGGCAATGGTGTGAAAAAGATAGTTGTTTAGATAATATTATGCCTCTTTGCCTATTACTTTATTTTTTCCAAAAATCTGATTTTTCTTGAAAGTCTTTGCAAACAAAAAGCTTGGATAAACCATAGCAAAAATCATTTGATATGCAACAAGCTGAGGTGCTTTAACATGAAAACAGAAAGAATACTGTAATGGTTTTTCTTTTTCTTTATGTAAAGTAGAATATTTCACATTTCTCTATGTCAGCAACAAATAACAAATAATTTTCATTTATAATAATTAACTGGTATTATAGGTTACAAATTTGTATGATTTTATTGGTAAAATACAGGGAGAAGATGGTTAGAAAAGAAGACAATACTTCCAGAAAACCCAAATGAATTCCTCCTTTTTAATTTCATTAATTCTATTCATTTATTTTTTTTACCAAATCAAAAGGAAGCAATTCTGTTGCACCATCAAACCCTCCCAATCCTGTAGTTTACCAGACAAAGATACAAATTTAAAGAAATTGCCATGCAAATATCTACCATACAAGCACAAATACTTTGTTGACAAACATGAGAGAAAGCAACATCGAAGCAGTACAATATGTTGTGAGTAATATCAAACAGCATGATATCAATCTGTATTATCTCTAATATATGGATAAGAAGATAATGTGGTTTCTAAGTCACACATGCTTTCAGAGTTAAAACTATATGGTAGAAATAAGATATCTTGCCACATGTAAACCACATGCTGGCTTAATCATCAAGGCAACAAGAAAAAGAAAAATCTGCTATGAAAGGAAATCTTTATACCAGATTAGAGGATATCAAAAGACAGATGGAGTTTTCAAAAATATAAGCAAACAGAGCTTGCAAAAATTAATTTATCAAAATTCTTTATCTGCTCAATAATTTCAGATTTTGAAACAACATTTGATGTCACTACAGACATCCCATAATGAAATTCCATCCCATAATGAAATTATATCCCATAATGTTCTCTTACCTCCACCACATGCTGAGCTCTCATCTCTCTCTCCATCCTCAGCTGCTCTTGCCTCTGCAATTTTTCCTGCTGTTTCAACAACTTCATCTGTTCCTTCTGTTTTCTTCTTTCCTCATCTGAAGTGGAAAAATTTTATTTATTTATATATAAATAAATATACAATTTATTATAGTGCTTTATTTGTGTCGTTCTAAGCAACCCCCAATATGCCACATACTTCACTGCACTAAGAATAAATAAAATGCATAATACACAGTAACAAAACATTTAATTTTTCTATATTAATCGGACCTTCAGAGAAATAGTGGTTAAAAAGATTATGGTTATGAATAAACCTTCTTATATGCGTCAATGTAATGCTCAGTCAATGAAAATGATCATTAAAATGGCCAACATTTTAGATGGCCATCGTACCTCTGAATTGTTTGGCCTTGGTTGCAGCTTCTTTCAGAGTTTGTTTCTCTGCCTTCCTCTTCTTGGTAATGTCTTCTAGTCTCTGTGCCATTTCTGACAGTGAAAATGAATCATCTCAATAAATATATACATTACATGCTGTGACGAAAGACTACAGTGGAACAAATTATCACACAGGTAACACAGGTGGTTGCTTCTGAAAAGTTTTAAATTTTTGACACCAACTTGAGCATAAACCCAGTGTATATATCTTTTACAATTATTCACATTCATTTTCATTCACAGCAATTATTGAAACCTAATTCCACAATAAAGGAGGATTGATCAATAATTGCTAGGTCTACATTTCTTAAGATGGGAATCTAAATTCACATAATATTTTAACCATATGTACATCAACTTAATTTCAATAAACAAATGTTGATAAATATTTTAGACCTCATTTTTTTCAGTTAAAAACTAGAGGATCAGAGAGGCGATACCGCCTCTGGATATTGTACCACCAGCTGGAGTAAGCGCATTCTCATGGAAACCCCGCCCCCAAAAAATGAACATCACCACCAGTCTTGTGCTTGACAAGCTCTATAAAATGCAATAAACAAGAGTTCTCAAAATATGCAAAAAAATAAAATAAAATAAAAATAGAAAATATT